TACTGTACGAATCGATGATAAACTCAAATTATCACCTGGAAGTAATAATTCAATCCATCTGAAAATACGAAAATTCAATTAACAAAATAAGTAAGAAAAAGAAATTCATTACCCTGTTATAACAATAAAACAATCTAAACGATTCCATGACTCTGCTAGATAGGAATCTTTGCCGATAAAACCCATTGCAACTATTCGGATAAACATTTCAAGTGTAAAATATGCGAAAATACATTGATCCACAATATGAAGATAAAAACAAAGATTTGTAGAACATTTATTCGATGAATCAAGCCCAATGTTTGACGGACATGGTTGGTACATGCCAAGTGTGATACAATTCAATAGAATAACAAATAAAGTGAACCGTTCAAACCACGGTGATGAAACAAGTTTCAAACATTGATATCGTGGAAATGTTGTTTGATTGAAACAACAAAAGACTTTTTTACGTAAACCGGGAAAAGGTAAATTATCGGAATCGATTGAAACATTCGAGATTCGATCAGTATTGAGAAAATAATCAGATTCTCTTACACCGGGTGTTTCGTCAGAAAAATTAACTGACGTTTTCGGATGTTTTCTCTCTTTCATCGGAACGAGGTAGTTGTTTGTTTTCGGCCAAGATCTTCCTACTTTTAAACAATAGGTATCATTTGTATAAGGTAAAGATAACGAGCATCGATGATTCTCTACACAAATTGAAGAAAACTGTCAGAAGAAATGAATCGAATATCTTAATACGTACTAAGACGTTGAAATTCATCGAGTCGGTCTGCAATCCAAGGGGATGAACTGTACCGAGTCATACGCGGTAAATTCTGCGGTAATTCGTTTTCTCTTTCGCGTCCAATAGTATTGTACATTGAATACAGACGAGCCTGTGGAGCAAACGATGAGATTTGCGATTGATATTGTGCTTTAACAGATCCCTCTAATGTCCACAAAATACGAACGGTTCTTAGTAAACCAGATTCGGGTTGATCATGAGATTCGAGATATTCTAGTAATGGTTCGATTGAGAACGGATCAAGGAAAAGAACAGTAATCTGTTTGTTTTGAATTGTTTTGCAAAAACGAGCAAGATTAAAACTATCTTCGGGTGGTAAAAGTACCAGTGTGCCCGAACGAATGACGATTAATGGAATTAAAATTTCAAATAAATGAATAATCCATGAAGATTCTACTACTTGAAAAACTTTTTCACCAAATCGCGACTCCCATTGAATGATATGTTGTAGATTTGCAACAAGAGATGCGTGTGTATGAATAATTCCTATTTGTCTCTTGTTTACATCGGATGGAAACACTACGAAACTTGGATTATCATTTTTGATACTCTCTACTGAAAGAAAACGAACAAAATCATGTCAGAGAAGATTTCTTCTCAATCAACTTACGTTTTATCACGTTCAACTTGCTATTTTCAGTTAATAGAATGCGTTCGATATTAATCATAAAAATATTTCTTTGTGTCATTGTCGAAAATCGTCGATAAGTATTCTCATGAACGAGCACATATCGACTCGGAATCGATTCCATCAATGTACGAATATGTACAAACGAATCTGTTGGATTTAACGGACAATAAGCCCCGCCAGAGTACATAATCGCTAACAATCCGCAAACCATTTCTAAACTTCGATCAACATATTGATAAACAATTTCGCCTTTCTTTATTCGAAGATATTGAGTAAGACGAACAACATTCGTTAACAATTCATCGTATGTCCATGTTTGTTCACTCAATTCGATCGCAATTTGATTTGGTGAAGCATGTGCAACTTCAAAAAACATGTCCAGAATGTTTTTCGAAGATGACATCATGAAAAAAAGTCTATTGAGAAGCTATCAAATAACATAAACAAGAATAATTTTGCTCGTGTAGTTCGAAAAAAGAAGTACGCCGTCATCGATTGATTTGAAAAAAGAAAAATTTTCTATCAAACAGTCTCGGTTAATTGATTAATCACCTTTTCTCTCCATGTGATTGAGAAAAAAAGACGAATGCAAACATTTAGATTCTTATTAACTGTCTGTAGTTCCCTAACGTCAAAATACTTCTCAAGGAAAATAGAAAAACATCCGTCTAACTTATCTCGATATAAAGAAACATATTTATACGATAAGTACATTATAAAAATTTACATAGAAAATACGTGAATGACAATTTGATTCATGAATATGTTAACACGACTGCCTGTAGATAATAAGATACATGTGATCGATACAATAATTTACACATGATTTGCTTCAATCAAAGTCAGAATTAAGGACCGAACGAAACAAAACAGTAAATGTATATATGAATAAATAGGTATGATATGTTTAAGGTTAATTTAAACAAACGTTATATGTCGGTCTGTTAATTCAAATTCAATGGATGACAAGGCTATTCAATATTTGAATGATTGAAGACAAAAGACGAAATTATGTATTCGGTTTGTTTTTTCTAGGAAAAAAAAAACAACGAGCAATTAGATGTCTATTCAAAGGAAGTTGTCGAAGAAAGTCACAATCGCAATTGTTTGAAAGAGAAAAAGAATGATTGATAATAACAAAAGACATGGATTGGGTTAGACCGTTAGGTGGTGATGTTCCCTTTCGATCAAAATAAAACTGGGCAAAGGTACTTGACGAGTTGTGTATTATTTAATTGCTTCAATTGGTTTCATCATCTCAAAAATATGTCGAATGCAGTACATCGCTTTTATTTCGAATTCACCCAGAAATCAAAGATGTAAATATACTGATCATTGTAGTTGATGAATACATTTCTGTATCGCACTGTTTTTATTATTAATGAATCATTACGAACGAGAAATTTACATAAAAACTTTTAAAATTCATTTCATAGGAGTGATTTGATCTAAACAAATTTGATATTCTGAATCAAATTAAAATCTTCTTCAAATTCTTGATTTTACTTTACAATATCAAATAACAAATAGAAATATTTTTCAATGTCAATCGATTAGATGACATTTGAGAAGCATTTTTTAAGGGGTATGACGTAGAAAAATATCTTCAATGAAAATGAAGAAAAATACTGTTACATGAGATAATTATACCTTCACTGCGAGTGAGAGGGAAAGAGAAAGCAAAAATAGGTAAAGAACGTACTTTCCTTATGGTGTATAACTTCACTGCTTTTAGTTTTCGTAATCATCATGCGATATAAAAGATACGCAATATTTTTACCTCGATGGGATATATCGTTGATTAAATAAGGAGTCGGTACGGTTATTATTCAAATACATTGAGATGTACAAATTCTATTTCTTTCTTTTTCCTTACAAAAAGAATCATAAATGACCGATCTTATAAAAGTGCAGTTTTACTGATGAAACTGTCCATGTTTATATCATATAACAATAAAGTTTTTCGTAAGATCTAATGTTAATATATGCTCTCTATACTTGGAAACAGTCATGATACCATATATTCGAGATAAAGTTCATGAGAAGGAGATGGAGCAAGAATGTACATTCGTCACTTCTCTCTTCTTATCCGACCTTACTGTCTGTGCGTACAATCGATCATCATACATATAGTTTTGTACTCGTATGAGATGGTTTTAGGACGAATATAATCGATTCTGTGGTATTCGAATGTTTCATGGAGACAGTTTTTGTGAATGAGCCTCGTTACCAAACTCCTTTTATCTCAGAGTTGCACATATTGACTTAACTAACGAGATTGAACGAATGGCAATTGAAATAACATACAATCTGAAGTGTTCTACTTTCGCTTGAATGAGATATAAGTTTATTATCACAGGTGATCTTTATTTTCAGAAAATTGATTCATTTTGGTAAAAAATGAGATAAAAAAAAGGTCATTCTACCACATTGTTAAGAGATTCCTTTTGAATGAAAACTGCCTAAAATTATCACAATGATTATCATTTGTCTTTACGCTGTTTAACCCGTTTATCTCTTGTTTTATATTCCTGAACATAAAAATTCCGGAACAGCAATAACATTATAACCATATAACCACCGAGCATCAATTGACCCCTAAAATAAACATTCAAACTTTCGAATTCAATCGAAAACTCTCTTTACCACAATGGATAATCGCATCCATAAATAATTCCTCCAAATGTATGAGTTAAAACAATGACAAATTGTGTCTAAATACACAAATAGTTTCAAAGAAAATCGTTCTTTTTAATCTTACAAGTTGCAACATTGTTATGTATCGTTTCCACCAAAGTTTATCGCGTAATGATGGAAAAACTGACAAACCATAATACGAATACATAAAAACATGAACGATTGAATTTAAAAAAGGTCCCATCCAAGCTTGTCCACCCTAAGCAAAGCATTTTGTATTATTATCAAGAACAATCGGAATGAAAGATCTTACCGGTACCCATGTTAAAACAATCCACCAGAGAAAAAACATAGTTGAATGATGGAAAACATGTAGAAATGTAATTTGATTGAAACGTTTTCGAATAATCATGAATATCGTATCCAAAAACTCGATTAATTTCGAAAAATAATAATACCAAAGAGCATTCGCAACTCGCATTTCATTTTTATCATTCGTCACAATCATTCTCTGACAAATTACATTATATCGACTACGATAGACACCCAAAAATATCTAAAGAAACAAGAAATAACAAAATCGATTTCATGTGTGATCTTCTTTACCTCGGTCACCATATATCCTGACAAAACAACGAGAGCCATATTGTAGAGAAAAAGTATCATAGCCGGAACACGAACTTCTGGCCGATTTTTCATATATTTTGGACCGAAATAGACAATCAGGAGATAAATAAACGTTAGGAAAAGTGTTGGAATTGGATCAGCCCATAATAAGAACCAATCTTTCGTTCGATAGTCAGCTTGTTTCAACGCATATCGGTAGAAACCGACATGTTCCATGAGCCAATCATTCAACCAAGTCATTCTCTATCTAAAATATATAAAAAAAAACTTATTATATGAAATTTCATATAAATATTTCAAATAAAAAGATGTATTTTAATGAGAACAAGAATGAATATGTTGAAGTATCGAATTGGATAATGTGAAGGCTTGATCGAGTGATATTCCGCTAAACATAGAACATAACTTAAATTCGATTTCGAATCAAAGGATAAAACTCACCTCAATTGGAGATCATTTTCGTTCATAAATGTAACAATATCATCATACAACATTAAACAAATTTTCGGTTTTTGCGGCTTTAAAAGAGCATTATCAGTGAGATACGATTGAATATATTCATTGGGAATGTACTAAATAATGAAAATAAAACGAACTTTGTTGTTGTTGTTGTTGAAAACTTGACTTTTCTTACGGTGAATAAATGAGAAAATTTCGTTTGAAATTGTTTTGATTTTTGTTGATCACTATTGGCAATATTAGCACATTTACCGGGAATGATATAACTAATCACAAATTTCGTTTGATCATTGACTGATATTGAACAAAATTCACAACGAGTTCCATCGATATCATCATGTTTTCTCCTAGGAGAAAAAAAAAGAATTTGTCTAACCTTGAAACAGGTTTTTTTTCTCATTAAAACTTGCTTGGAAACATTACTGATTGGTTTATTTGAAGAGAAAGTGCGTGTTGCATTATAATTCGTCATTGCCGATGAACTGGTTGAATACGTTGCAAGAGTCTAAAAACAAAATATATATAAGTTGATTCAACAACGACAAGCCCGCGTGGCCTAATGGATTAAGGCATCGGACTCCTACGTTTATTTTGAACAGAGCCATCCGAAGAGTCCGGGTTCGAGTCCCGGCGCGGGTGTCCACACATTTTGTTCTTTTCTGTTCTCTTTTTCTTGTTCTACTCAGTAACTAACGACATGAATCGAAAAAAGGACGTCCTTTACTAAAACCTCGATCGTATCAACAGTATTAATCATTTCCTATAACTAAAGCTTCATTACCTGAGAAACCATTTCACATAAACTTGTTCGAATAATCTCGTCGGATGTGTCTGAAGCATTGATTCGATCGAAATAGTTCTAATCAACATAGAGTTGTCATTGTTTTTTTTCGATTTTCAATTCAATATTTACCGTTTTGTATTTATCAAGTAATACTTCAATTTCATTTTTCAATGATTTGGAGATAATTAAACAAATACAATCAATCCATTGTTGATCAGGTACATTTCCTGTTTGCCGTTGTCTAAACTCGTGGAACTCAAGCAAAAGAAAAATGTGTATTTTCTTTCGAAATTTACTTCAATTGATTCGAGATCTTCAAACTTTGTGACCTCCGTGAAGGCGTCACTAATAACGATGATGAAGAATCTTGTAAGCGTTGAAAAATTTGAGGACGTTGGCACGTTGGAAGAGTCTATAACACATTGCAATACTCAGGAGAAAAAAGCCTCGAGAAAGTGAATTACATATGACATCGGCTGATGCGAACACGGAGAAGATGAGCAAGAGTAATCGTTCATTGAGGAGTTTTGTTCGGATGTATTGTGTTCATTGGGAATCGAAGGTAAATTTAAAGGTGGAGGAAATTTTCTGGATCGAACGGTTGAAGTTGACTTGATCAATTTTTTATTGCTCATTTCCGTTGACTACGGTGAATGAAAAAAAAGAACAAGAAAGAAAAAAAAAGACTCGAACTAATAGGTTTCATGAGTCATCATACTTCTCTTGCTGTTATAGATGTCAGTAGAAAGATTTTTCGAAAATTTACAACCGAATTCGAATAATGAATGTTTTCCCGATCGATTTTTTCGAATTTTCTTCAAAAATATTCGGAATTTATTAGTGAAAACGTCCGACCAATAGAAGTTCGCGTGTGAACAACGGATCACATTTGATAACAAACAGCAAAAAGCCAGTCACAATGGATAACTACGTGAAAATTGCCAATGAATATCAGCGAAAATTCTTCGGAAATATTCCACATCGGCTGATATTCGCGAATTTGATATGTGGATTGGTATCTTTATTGATGTCAATCAGTGGTTTTTATCGATTTTCTTCATTATTTATTCTTCTTGCTGGTGTTTGTTCTTATCTCAACAGAAAATCATATCGACAACAACATCCGAAACCGGAAACGACAAATCAATTCGAATCTTTCGCTGACATGACTTCATTCGCAGTTGCACCGGTCATTCTCGTTCATTCATTGAAGAACTGGTCATTTCTACTGATCGTTGCTTTTATCAGCTTTCCGTAATGATAAAAATGAATTTGTTTAGACAAAAGTCAAGATGTCTCTTGTTTTTAGATTTGCTGGTGCATACAGAATAGTCAAACTCAATCCGAAATCAACGAACGACTATGTTCTCGGACTTCCATTGCCAGCTGCTGGTATTGTTGTTGCGCTACTCGCATTTTTTTCGTTAGTTTCACCGATCATTATGATCATTCTTTCACTGCTCATGAGCGCTTCATTAGAAATTCCTAAACCGTGATACATAATTTCTTCAGTTTTTTGTCTTTCAACGCAAAATAAATCACGAGTTGTTTAGTTATTTTCATATTTTATACGCAAATTTTTTTTTCAACTAAAAAATTGTGTCTATATAATGCGTAACGAAGAAAAAGAAGAATTAAAATAGATATATAGATATATACATATATAGAAAACAAAGAACGAGAACAAATTGTTTAAAAAAATTTTTTAATGTCTAACTATCTGTTTGAGTTTAGTTCGTTAAATGTAGCATATACCACGTCGACATGCTTCACAGAATTGACTCTGATGCTGTTTCATCATTTTTCCTTTTCGTTGCATCGGGTCATGACGACGTTGATAAACTTGCTTTGCGTCGATTTGCGCGGGTTTTTGAGGTTCGGCTTCGAGCTGATAGAGCATATCAGGGAAGAACAACTCAAATATACATTGCGCTAAGTTTTTCATCACTCGGCAGACCTCGTCTAAACAACAAAAGTGATTATTTTCCCAAATAATTCATTAAAACGAGAACACTTACCGACATACCAAACAGCTTCGACATATGTTCCACATCGTTCACAATCTTGTCCGAAGATTTCCAAGACAACAAAACCGGGATTCGACGCATAGATTGTAAATAAGATTCTTGCGCGCATCGATGTCCAAGCATGTTGACATCGACGTTCTGTACATTTGAATTGTGCCTTTGCATTGTCAAGTTTGCCGTAAACTTTAGCTGGATTATTCGAGAAGTATTCGTTAGGAAGTTCACTTTTGGCAAAGAGATAATATCGAACTTTGTGTTTGAGAGACAATGGAATTGAAATACGACGAGCGAACTCGGCATGAAATGCTTGAGTTGTATCTTGACAGAAATCTTTTTTGATTTCATCAGGAATTGTTTTAACCAGATTAACTAGAAAAGAAAGGAAAAACAAATGTTATAGTGAAACGTTGTTGTTCGTTTTGCTGATGTCATCATGAGTCAGCAAAAAAGAAATATTGCTCAACTTACGATCATTTTTTATGTCCAGAATTTTTGATTTTTCGTCGCTTTCATTTTCTGAATATCCTTCGTCCGCATTGCAGGTGGTTACGACTTGGGATGGTTCATCTTCATCAGTGTTTATTGCTGAGAAACACGTTTGTTCCAACTGTTGTTCAATTTCATCGGTACCAGAATCGTAATCAGTTGTTCGACGTTCACGTTGAGGGAAGAAAACATCCTTTTGATCATGCAAGTCCAATATAACTTCCAATAGACCTCGATGATCATCCACTGACGAACTTCGACGAGGTTTTTCATGTTTCTGGGCTTTTTCCATGTTTGAATTCGTTGCCGTTTCGCTATGTTGACGACTTAGTTGTGGTATAGAGCCAGTCATATTGATTTCAGATGGCAATAATACGCGAATGAAAGTGTGTATGTGTGTGTTTAGTTGAAATCTAAAAATGAGCAGCAACGATTAGAACGCGTTCGCTTTTATGTAGAGAAAAAGAATGATGAGTAATTCCTTCTGCTGGGTATTATAGCTATGTGGAGAAATTACAATAAGAAAAGGGAAAAAAGAGAAGAGACAGAAGGAAAAAACCAAGTATAGAACGAGATATTCACGTGAGTCCGCAACGTGGACGATTCGTTTCTTTCAAATAGAAATGTTAGTGGACAAAATCAACAGCGGACCTTTCAGACAATGTTTACAATGAATATTTTCAATTTGAGAGGAGGTTAATTATGTAATCAAATGATATTCTTCTTATAAAGGAGTCATTAATTTCACTTTGGTGTTGTAATTTTCTCAATGACGTGGACGAATGGTGTAATAACATCGACTAGTCGCATAACTTTCTCTTTCTTTAGTTTTCATCAGATTATGAAATAAATGTCTGAGTTTCACATCGTATTTATATCTCGAGGAAGAAGAGAAAGAGCGAGATATATGATAAATCATACTGTTTTTTTTTCTTTCGTGTTCTGCACTGTGGAAAACCTTTTATAATCATTCAGTGAGTCATTTGGACGTTTCCAGAATGATGTAATAACACGCTGTGTATTGCTCTTTGGTTTTTTCCTCAATGTTTCAATTTGGTTGAGTCGTGTACTTTCGTCATTCATAGAAAATCTCGATAAAATTACGAAATATAACCGAGAACTTGCGGTTGAATTATGTTTTTTTTCTGTTCTTTCGCAGAAAGCACGAGCGTCTTGTTGTTTCATGGCCACGTCGCATCATAACAGCTGATGATTCCTTCGATGAGTCATTGCGGAAAAAAGCCAACACGAGAAAATATTCGTTTATTTACAACAAAATTCGTCTAAATGACAAGAAAAAAACAATTATTTGACTGAAAACTATCTTCTGCACTTATGTTCCCAATTCGATGCAAAACATGATCCAGCTAAACATGCTGAACATAAATTTCTCTCGTGAAAATTTGTCATACGACTTGCACGTTGTTCGCCTAACGTTAATTCTACGTCTTCGTCCGACGAAGAATCTTGCGATGAAAATTGTCGATTGGAATAAAAATTGTCTTTCAATATTCGACAGATATTTCGCATAACACGTGTTGTTTCATCAAGATACCAACATGGCTGAATCTCTTGAAGACATTCTCGACATTTTTGTGTAAATAAATACGTGAATAAGACATTAACCTTGTTCCTTATTGGTCTCTCTGCGTGAAAAACTGCTCGTCCTCGTGCTGTTGTCCATTCGTGAGAACAATCTCGACAACAATATTTGATCTTGGCATTGTGCACGATTTTCAGTATATCATCTGGAAACCAAAATAATTTAAATGGTTCGTTTGTGTTGAGATCTACGTCACGAAAAAACATTGGCGGAAGTAAATCATAATCAACGAAGCCAAGTGACCATCGTTCACGCGATGATTGAGAGAAATACTGATTGAGATTAATTTCTAATTCTGCATGAAACACATAATAAAAATTTGGACAAAAAAAACTTTTATCTATCGATCGAACTCGACGAGCATTGATGATACATTTCTGATACTCTACAATAGAAAAAACAAATATGGTTTTTTTCCTCGTTATTAGATAGAAAGTTCATTTACCAGTGTCATTGATAATTGGATTGATGTTCATTGGAAATCAATGATAAGAGAAGATCTGATTCGGAATGAAATAAATTTGACGAAACAATAAGAAGTAAATATATTATGTCGGGAATAACCCATAAATAGTTGTCTATTATGTTTCTTCTCTTTTTTGCGTAACGCAATGACGTAAAATTATAGGAAAGAGAAAGGTGGGTGCAAAGACAAAGCAGGTTTATTCCAAATGTATTAACTTCAGTATGAGTGTGCATTTTACGTAAAATAGTTGTTGTTCGCAATGGACCGTGATAAATAACAATTATTCGACTCATTCAATGTTTTTTCGAACCGAAAAAGGAAGTGCACATAAAAAATCATGAAAATCGATGTTCTATTTTGATTATTTCGTCTTCACATGCATGAAAATAGCGATATTTACACGACAGAATATTACAAGGTCAAATCTTGACTTTTATCACTCAAATAGCTCATTACATTAAAATTTATTATAAGAAGTTCACTGAATACGACCGTGGTGATAAATATGAATTTTATCGATGAGTCAACCATCATGTTTGTTCTGAGACATGAAATAAACGTTGAGATATACAAAACAAGTAAACGAAATTAAATTCCCAAAAATGTACTGCAAGATATTCGAAAGACTTTGAAACACGATGATTTTCTTGTACATTTCATTTGCGTGCAATTTATTGATTTGATGCTCGTTTAGTGATCGTATATCGAGTAAAAAATACGAGAAATAAAACAATAGTTAGAAAAATCATGACTAGAAAATAAGTGATCACGATCGATACAAATGAACAATAAACAACTGTTTTATGACACCAAATATCTGGATTATGTAAAGCTTGTTCGAAATGTGGAGGATATCCAAGTGTGATGAGCCAATATTGTCCACAAAAGAACCAAATGATTAGAAAAGATGTCATCAAAACATCGATAAAAACTTGTCCGTCATTTGGATCGGATGATGATTCTTCTTCTTCTTCGGTTAAACTTTTCTGTTGTAATCGGTACTTATGCCAGATATTCTGAAGAAGTTTTGTGATCCAAACAGCTCCGGCAACGAAGAGATAGATGGGTAATTTACTTTGACGTGGACAATCGCTTAGATGACTGACACCTACAAGAAAATCAATGGATTTGAAAAGAAAAATTGAAGAATTCTACCGGTTCCGAGCATAATTATTGGTAGAATGAGAAAAAGACAAAGAAAAATTGTTGCTTCTTCTGAAAGAAGATTAATCGAATGTTGAAAAAAAATCTTTCAAAGAATTTCTCACTTGTTTTCATCAATACTAAAACAGTTTTCTTAGTAAATTCAATTAGAGACTCCGATTCCGCATATTCTTCCATTAAACGTGATCGTAAACTCCAATAAAGTGGAGTTTCTTTCTGATAATCCAAACTCCATCGTCTTTCATTCTTCAACAAAGAAAATTTTCAATCTTGATTACAATTCGCCTCTTTTACCTTTTTACTCGATGACGATGTCCTATTCGAATCCCAATAAAACATGGAAAACAGCGATTGTCTATCTGCAGCACTCTCCACTCTCGCTGAATTCGTCGACGATGTTCGACTATATTTACTTCCATTCGAAAAGTGTAAACCTATGTCCGATGGCATCGATGATAATGTTCGCGTACTCGAATACGATGATTGATATGAATTTGGTGCCAATAATGACGTTCGATTTGATAATGGATATAAAGACGATGGTCGACATAATGTATTTCGTCGATGTGAGAACGATGTTGCTCGTCGTTGTAATTCCATTTGAGAACAAACGATACTTTCGAATGTGATCGAATTTTTGCTGTGATGTGCTGACATTGTTCTCAAATGTTGTGAATGTGGCATTGTACCACGACGGGCCGCCTGTGGAAAAAAGAAAATGTTGAATAAAATATAAAAATATGATCTTGTCTTTCAAGTAGATTCTTGTATTTCATGAAGAAAGTAACAAATAACTCATGAACGCTTTATATTTCAATTATAACTTGTTTTTTCTTTCTTCTTACCACTGTAAACATTTCCTCGATGTTGTTGAAGAAGATCTTTGTAGTAAACTCAGGAGAAAATCATGTCTGAAGTGAAAAATCAATGATGAGATGGCGAAGTAGTCGTTGTCGTTCTCTTTTGGCTCAGATCAATTCCATTTTCTTCATTTGACATTTGATCGTACCATTATCTTAAGATTTTCTATGAAGAAAAAAAAGTGTCATCGAAGTTATTTATATTGATGCGTGATGCCGATGGAAATTCGATTGTCTTTCAAGCATGTTTTGTTGAATTTCCATTGTTTAGATTTGGCCTTGTAAGGTGAGAAGAGGAAATCTCTTATCAGTTGATTTATAATCTCCGAACTTTTTCTCTTTAGCCATTGTTTGAAAAAGAAAAACAAGAAATTGATGCATCTCTCATGGCCAACGAATCTATTCATATGTTTTCTACTAAGTGAGTGAAGAATATTTTCTCATGAGATCTCCAAAAAGATAATTTCAGGTCTTTTCATCGCAATCAACGCGGATTTGGAGTATCCGGAAGATTATATTGATAAGACGACACGTAAAATTGACCAATCTAAAACACGAAAAATGTTGCATCATGATGTTCCGGGTTATGATCACGGTCCTGAAATCTACAGTGATGAATCAAATGAGGATAGTGAAGGCTTGCCGCAGACAGCTATTTCAACTAGTACAACAACAAAAACCACTACAACTGAATATGAAATAACAGAAGCTTATGGAACATTATCAACAACAGATTTTGCAGAACTGATACCTGACCTGTCAATAGTAACGGGAGATTCTGTAGAGATTGACGCGTATCTCCGAAGAACAAGTAAATATTCTCTGTTCTAATTGTAACATATGTTTTAATCTTTTTTGTTTCATAAAGATAGAGAACGATTGATGCTGAAAATCTTTGCGATTGTGATGATAACCGCAATGATCAGTTTAACCATCATTTTACTAACACTTTTTTGTATTCGAAAGAAACGTCGTTATGATGGTTACAATCTTCCACAAAATCAACCTTCATCAAAAGCATAAATGATTTTTACTCACATGATTTTCGATCAATTTCCATAAAATATCATTTCCCCTGTTTGAAAAAGGAATAAACGAGATCACATTTCACAGAATGAAGAATATTCTCATTAGTAATTAAATTCTATTATCAAACGGAAACTAAACCGGATATTAATTCTCTTCGCTCAAAAGACGCGCGTTTTTGTTTATTCTTTTACTGTGAGAGAGAAAGTCAACATCTATTTTGATGAATCCCGAACCAGGAGAATATCGAGACTTTCCTGAACCAAATATCGTTGTTAACGATGAACTCGCACATCCATTTGATTCACCGAACCATGCGGAAACTATCAATCGACCGTTGAACGATCTTCCAGGAATCGAAGATTCAAGATTTTATTCAGATATTCCGATCGATAATTCAATTCCAGTTGAAAATCAGTCCGACAATCTCACCGCGGTGAAAAGCTCCAAACTGAACGAACAGTTCGATGATTTTCAAGAGATTTCATCCGATCAGGAAGATCAGTTCTTAGCGAAGACAAAACAAATGAATTTCGATGAGAAATTTCAATATTTACAGAACGAATTTGAAAACGCTCAAAAGATTACGACTCTATTCCAAAAGTAGATATTCAATGAGGTGATAAGGGGTATTTTCTCATTTCGCTTTAGTCAATTAATTTATGTGAAAAATCTCAGAGACAAATTGAGTTTCTTCTGCTCGGAATGTCGATCGGAGATCATCTCGACATTGAATATTCAACAAAATACCGAGAATTTAACCGAATCACAGTTCGAAATGTTGACTTCGTATGCTCCGGAATCGAAGTTCGTTTCATCGACCGTAGCAAAAAGATTACTCAATCAAAAATCGGATTCAAACCTTGCGAATGAATATCAAATTCGGGTGAATCATGCTCGATCGATAATGAAGATCTACAGAGCAACGAAAAAGTTACAGATTCGATTATCAACATTGAATGATCTTCTAGTCAAATCAGTTCTTTCGAAAAATGAACGTTTTCATGAAATTGAACAATTTGCTCTTCTTCCGAAAAAGTTCTTTGAAAGTGTTGATGATGTTTATCAATATGAAACGACGAAAGGAAAAGTTTTTATCCGTTGTATTGACAAACAGATCAAAGAAAACGAAGTGGAGATATTTTGTATTGATCATTGGAAACATCCGTTGGCACAAATCAGTTATAATTTAGCTGAAAAGTATTCGTTTATATTCGATATTCATTTTAAACGAGTTATTACGTCTTATGATCAATTAACTATCGCCATTCCGTGTTTTTTACTATCTTCAACTTCAAACCATCGACAAATGTTTATTCGCTTGAGTAAGACGAAGCACTTTCAATCGAAAAGAAAACTTTCTTCACTTTCAGAACGTTCTATGGATCCATTGATTCACATTCCCGCAAGAGTCGAACTCTATAATGAAATTCATTATGCAGTCTTTCGTCTGACGCATTCCCTAAGTGACATTTCAGTCGAAGCGATTTTCTTTTATCCATTCGAAATCTTAAAAGAATCTCAAAATGGTAAGAAAAATTCCAACTTTCATTCCTTTGCTCACCGACTGAAAATAACGATTGTGATTTTGCATTTGCCGAAGAGAAAGAACATATCCATGTTGCCTTACCTGTCTCACTATTTCGATCTGCGTGATCATCGATCGGAAAACTCTGAATGTTGATGAAATTCTTTTAGGTTCGAATTGCAATTATACCTGTGATCATTCATCTGCATTTCGAATTGAAACACCGAAAAACTATTTCATTCGTTCGCCACGCGTCCGTTTTGTCCCATTGAATCATGATCTTATCCAATGTATTCACAGTAAACGAATGTTGTCTTTCGTTTCCAAAGAGATTTGTTCAGTTTGAAAAGGTTTGAAAAACGAGGATCAATTATTATCGTCATCAGATCTGATCGAAATCCAATGGTTTAAAGAAAACAAAATCGAAGGTTTTGTCAGCATAACTCTTCAGTTGACTCGACATTTCAATCGAGTTAACCAGGCCAATGAAGATTTGCGTAAACGACGTCGAAAAGGTCAAAGTAATACAAAATCTTCAACTAGACTTCTCATCATTTGTACTTTCTTAGGAAAGATCCTTTTTCAACGTCAAAAGTTCGAACAAGATAAATACGACGAAACCGGCAGTTCTTTGAGTATAACACCAACACCAACGAACATTTCGACTCCATTGAACGGCATCTCACATTTACCAACATTATCTTTCATTCTCGAACGAACACAGAATGATCAATCTGAAGAGATCACACGAAAAAAACTGAATTTCAACCGGGAAAATAACTCACAAACGATATTCAAGTGGAAGCTGGATAGTTTTCAAAATCAAAATGCTCCTATCATTTTACTTGGATATAAAAACCGAAAATGGAAAAATTGTAATCATTTAGTGAAGATTTCGACAACTGATGACAAAGATACGTTCGTGATCCATTCCGTAGGAATTTCTCCACTCTTTTCCAAGAGAACAAATGTCGTTTTTAGACAATTTTAGTCGATCGGATGATTCTCATTCGTTGTTGGCCGGAATCGACCAACGAAGGAAGATTCGACAAATTAGCGGAGAATCTTTGGTCCATGTCATCAATGAAATTGTTTTCTTGTGTTCTCGCACGAGATCCAACAAGTTTAACACGTTACGGACTTGTTATCATACCAATTGAAAAACAACATCTCGCCGAAGATCTTCTTCGACAACGAAACTATACGGAATGGATATTTAATGAACAATCTATCGAAGAAAACATCAGTCAGACAAGAATTCATCAATATCAATCGCAGCACACTTTATCATTCAATGAATCGGTGAAGAATATTTCGAAATATGTACAATTTTGTCTGCAGGAAGGAACTTATGTAACGATTTTTCCAACCGGGAATATTGATTTGCACGAAAAAGGTTGAACACTTCCCATTAAACTTTAACGTTTCACTTTCATGTCTTCACAGTTGAACTTAATCTTCGATTACACGCTCAATATCCAATTTTCCTCGAATTCGACATTTATCCAATTGATATTTATCGTCAAAAGACCGACGAAGACTTCATTGGCACCTTAGATATCTACGAAATCAATGAACATGCGACGACATTGAAATCAAGCAGTAGTACATTAGTAATTCTCAGAGAAAAATCTTCGAAAATAAGTGATTTTTTTTCAGGCTGCTGCTGCCGCTGTTTCGTCTCGAACATCGTCTGGTTTTGAAATCAGTGAAAATTTGCTAGAGAATACATCGCCTCGTCCATCGACAAGCGGACGTGAGACAATAAGTGATAATCGATCTGTGACTTTCGAACGGTTGACACTACGCGATCTGAAAGAAACCAATCTGATCTGTAAAATTTCAATTCGTCTTCCCAAATACGCTTTTCGTTCACCATCAGCACAACTGAATACAATTCCAATAGAAATTCCACAATTTTTTCACGTAAATCAAAGCAAATCGCCTCGATTCTCCGTTCGAACCCTCCTTTTATCTTCAGGAAGTCATTCAATCCTTAACCGAAGGTAAACGAGAGTTTGCTCAAGCATTGAACATCCATCCATCGTTAATCAACTCTCTTCTAACAACATCAATACCTTCTGAGCAACGAACTCAATCGAGTACATCTCTTCACGGCCAATCACGAACGAATTTATTCCTCGAATCTTTACCAAAGAGTAAAATCGAAAGTGAAACGTTAGTTAAATGGTTCAAACGACAAAATGTCTTTCAACTGACTGAAATTCTCGAGAAGATCATTTCTGCTTTGATTCAAATCGGTCGAATTGATTTAGCTTACACGTTTAAGATTACAAATCTAAAAAATAAATGCTCGTAAAACACGTCAAACATACATTGACATAGATGTCTCTTTCTCTCGATGAATTTTTCTTTTTTCTTTCATATGGATTCAAATAACTAAGCAACGGCAAGTAGAGAACATGAAATAAATGACGTGACATTCATTGCAAATCAATTCAGAGAGAAAAAGCAATGTCGAATCTACCACCGTGGCTTATTGAAAGTCGTGAAAATGTTTTGAAAACAAAGGTGAAGTTCGTTTCATATTTTTCGAATATACAAAATGAACTTTTGCTCTTTCAATAGGAATGGGACGCATTAACACATAATATCTACGATGCAGTTGATCAACATTTAGCACAAAGTCATGTTCAATACTTTACAGATCTATCTGATGCAGAAAAAAGCCTCGTTCTCGAACGCGCGGCACGAAGTTTAAAAGCAACTACAAACGGAGGACGTAAGTTTTTCTTCCTCTAATTCACATCGACTATTTATTGGTTATTTAGCAACTCCGTACGATAATTTAAATAAACGTGTATCAGATTGTCTGGACAAAGGTGTTAATAACGATGTTTCTCGTTCGTTAATAAAGGACGATCCAACGGAGACGAAAAGTGACCTGATTTTGGATAAAGTTTGCGATGGAATTGTTGGTTTGTTACGAAAATGGCCTGATCAAAAATATAAACTACACGCATTTCTAAATCAATCGTTACCTCAACCGATACGTTTTGTTGGCTGGCATCTTTATTTGAACAATCCCACTTGTAAAATTCCACATCTGGAAAGTTTTCTGTTTTTCATATTTCGTTCTTTTCAGATCGACAAAGATTCACCAATGATTTGACAAACAATTCGCGAAGTGTTTTATCACCAGTAGATGCGGATATTCAACGTAATTGTGACAGTCTTGTTCCAACATTACCATCAGCAAATGATATGGTCGATTCAAAAGGTACAAGCTTTCCAAATTTCACGAAGATTTTTTCGTTTTTCTTTAGGAAACATGAGTGCAATGAAAGCAATACTATCGTATCATCATTCGATGCTTTCCAGTAACCGAGATTTAAGCGATTCGGAATATTATTATGCTGTTCCGATCGTTCTCTCGCATAATCCACCTCTATCTCGGTAAAAAGTTCTTTTAGAAAAAGCAACTTGAGTGATGTGTCTTTTTTTTTGTCGTTGATTAGAACGGAGAAACCTTATGAAAAATCTCTTGGGGTTTTAATTGAAATGTATCGAACATTTCTGGATACGATGCCACCTACTCTCCGTGATGTTTATTTGAATGTAATCAAATTGATTTATGCAAATTGAGAAACGAACTTTTTTCTTATTAGAATTCGACCCAAGAACTTGATCCTTGGTTCGTCAAAGTTGAGTATTATTTGAAAGAGATCGATCGACCACTGTACAATCATATTCGAAGTACTGTCAATTCATCAGGTTCGATTCTTTTCAGTTTCAACGTTATGAATTCTTTGGAATTTTTCAAGATGCACATACCTCTGCATCGGTTGATCAATATGTTCTATCTTTTATTCGAAAATGTTGCTATCCTTGGTTCAAATATATGTTTGTCGGTAAGTTTCGTTCAATTCGGAAAAATCATTGACGAATTTGCTATTCTCAGGATGTCTTTCGACGGATCCGTTGATGTATGTATGGGATCAATACTTAATCACAAGTGACGTCCCGAAATTTCATGATGAATTGATTCCTGCAATAGCATCAGCAATGATCGTGACACTGCGGGACTTTTTATTGAAATGTCGATCGGTTTGTTTGGTTTGAATACGATTGAAGTATTGTTGTAAGATGATTTGTTTCAGCCATCGGATATGGAAGCAGTTTTGCAAAGACGAACGAATATAATTATAACACGACAATTACAATCGGTCGTGGTGAGATTTTTCTTGACGGATTTTAAGAATCGCATTGCGAAATCACATTTTGGACCAGTGATTGATCCAACGGAAGGTTAGAATGGAGATGACAGGAGGGATTTTGAGATTGATTGGTATGTTTTCTAGGACGTCAATGGACAGGTTTCAATCGTGATCATGTTCCACAAGTGGCCAATCGACCTGAACAAAGATTCAACGATCGAGAGAGAAATGAACAGTAAAAGATTGGTTGTCAATTTTGAATTGTTCATTTTTTTTTCATTGTAGAACGCTTCAACTGGAAAAACGATTACGAGAAGTACGAAGAAGTTCAGCTAGGCGTTTGCGAATTCTTTATTTTAAATAGGAAATGGCTAAGCGCGAAGAAAACGAACGCTTGTTGCAAGCAAAAATCGAGCAACTGCAACGTGATATGGAGCGTATGAGACAAAATCCAGTAACGATAACAACGGCTCAACCCATCATTACCACAATACCTCCTCGAGCACAAACTCCTGTCGAACGTTACGTTGTTACCGAAACTCGACCGAAAGTAATGAATTTCATATTGCTTCATCTAAAAATCTTTTCATTTAGCCTGTTACACCTCCACCGCCACTAAAAGACACTTCTCGCCGGGCACCAATGAACAGTCCCGTTCATGATTTACTTCGTCGAATCGCTCAAACATGCAATCGAGGTATGTATTTTTCTTTGGGAAAGAAAATTTCTTTGAGATGAATATAATTTCTCATTAGTGGCACATGGTGAAGGAAGAAACAGTCAGGTTTTGAATGAACAGACTAAAAATGATATTCGCGTTCATAAGCTTGATTTGAAAATGGCCGAACGACAAGTTATTGGTCGAACATTACAAGTCGACGAATGGGATCATCTTCCCGCTACACAAAAAGAAGTCTACAGTCAACAAATGCTCGAAGCTGTCAAAGCGCGAATACAAAAACGATATACCGCAGGACGAAAAGGTTAATTCTCTCTCTTCAGACTTTCATATAATAAATCATTTGATACGCTTTGAAATTTTATTTGAATAACGAAGATTTATGATGAAGAACAAAACAAAATAAATGTACAATATACCTCAGAGAAAAAGTTCACAAGAAGAAAACTCGCGTTTAACTACCGCTATCATAACCGGTGACGATAATTGATGGAGAACCAAAAGCTAATCCATTTTCTCGTCGAAGAAAATTACTTGTTCGAGAAGAGATCGGTTGATCTTCACATTTGTACTTCTCTTGATCAGTCAAATGTGTCGAAGGATATTCAGAATGAAAATCCGATTGAATAAAACTATGTGGACGTTGTTTGATAAACGTTGTTCGAGTTTGTTGTTTCGTCCGTTGATGATTCGTTTCGTCGAATGTTTGTTGTCGAATAGGCGCACGTTGATGATTATCTTGTTTAAGAAATTCGTTGATAATTCGATCAGTTTTCTCATCGATTGCATTATCATTGAACAGTAACATGGAATTGTTTGACGAAGTTGAACCTAAACTGGAAGTTGTGGGGTCGCGAACTAAGCTAAATTTTAAACGGGGTTTTGTTCCACTGGTAGTTGTGACAATCGGGGCGACTGACGAAGATGGTGAGGGAGAGTTTATTGGAACTGTTGGATAGTCGAATGATATTGAACCACGTTTCGAACGAAACGATTCTGTAGGAGAACTTACGCTAACAGATGGAGATTTTTGGAACAGATGACGTGGATTCGGCGTGATATTTGTTCGTGTAGGAATAGAATTGGATGAAACGTTTGTATCCAATGAATTGATTGAATATTCCAAAATTTCGGCTTCATTGGATTTTGATCGACGAAGATCAGCGGAACGAACTTGTAACGTTTGATTTGAATTCTGTTCATGTTCATCGGGCGTTTTCATCGAGGGCAAAATTACATTGGATGATGCATGCCGTTTATCTTTACTAAATTCTCGTCGTTTTTTACTCGCCGTTCGATGAATTGATGCTGATAATGGAATTGACTTATTCGGTGATAAATATTGATTTTGTGATAAATTGCGTTGAGTTTCATTCAAATCTTCTTCGAGGTCTTTAATATCGACACTTCGTTGCTTTAGAGATGATTGAGGAATGAATATCACACTCTCACCACCATCTGTCGACATCCAATCTAAGCTTAACGTTTGATTTTGACTTTCAAAGGACTTATAAGCACTGTCATCTTGTTGAGTAGTTGGTTGAATTTTTAAATGTTGAGAATTCGTTTCGGATATATTGTATTCATTTCCTGATGATTCAATGGATGTGAAATGATCATTTTGACCTCGACTACTTGTATCCGATTGCATATCAAAATCGGTTTCCAGACTTCGATCAAAGCTGGAATTTTCACTTCTACAAGTTAAATTCGTTAATAATTTGGAGAAGTCTGACGTTGGTTTATTATTTAATTGTTCTTCTCGTTTGGCATTGGATTGATTGATGCAATTTCGACGTTTTTCAAATGTTCGTCGTAACGCTTGACGGCGAACTTCCGGAGGTGGTAAAAGAAGATTCGATGAACTCTTACGACGATGTTCATAGTTGGGATTTTCATCATTTGGATTTTCGTTTTTCATTTTCTTTGGTGAATGAATTCCGCCGCTCGAATCAATAGATGTTGAGGTAAATAAATCATCCGGTGAGGTTTGTTCAACTTGATCTCGTCGATCTTCGATGTCATGGGAACGATGAAAACGCCAGAAATCTTTTCGCTTCTTATGTTCCTAAAAGTGAAAAAGTAGACTTTCATAAAAGGAAAAGAAAAGTTTTTCTGTACTAATTGAGCTGCTTGGACAAGTTGACTCATGTCTGGAATTTTGATAATGATCGGTGGCGGTGCGATAGGTGATGATGAATGATGTTCCTCAGCACACTCATAGGATTTCGTTCGACGATTTACAACTGCTTCAGAACGTTGGTTGACTGGTCGGAGAAGATTCGCAGCATCGAAACTACGAGATTGTTTATCAACTGAAGAAGAACTTGCTGTTGTTGGATGTTCCAGAGAACGACAATGTTCGTGTTCACGTTGAACAACAGATGAACGTGTCGAAGTTAATGTTTGAGTGAAATTTTGATTATTCGAAGTCTTGCTTGAAGAATTTAACTGAACAGTTAAGTCTTTCTTTTCTATTGGAGTTGGTTTTTTACTGATTATTGCTACTGGTGGTAGTAAATGTTGAGAACCCTGTGGTGTACTTGTTGGCGAATTTCCATGGACAGATAAACTTGAGCCACGTGGTGTAAAAAACATTTCTTGTGGTGTTGAAATGATAGATGAAGGAGTTGATGGTTGTTGTGTTGGTGTGTGATACGCTAAAGTAACATCGAAACTACTTTGACGATAAGGTGATAGAGATGAGGATGTTCCTGATGGTCGAGTATCAATATTGATCGAATGGCCTTTCTCGAGACGCGGAGTTTCGGATCGTTTTTGTAGAATAACCGAACTGGTAGAATTTTGTCGAACGTAACACCGAGGATCGACTTGGAGGTAATTTTCAGCGGGTTTCTCATCATTTGACACATTTTCATAAAGTGTTCTGAGATAAAAACACATGTTTTTATGTGGTTTGACTCAATGTTTTAGCTTACGGATTATGTTGTGTATTACCTAAAGAGAAAAGAGTTTATAAATACTTTGAAGAAATGTTTTCATTTACCATTTTGTTCATGATTTTCATGATAATCCAACGATGATGGTTTAGAACTTGGAATTTGCCATTGATTTCTACAGAATAATCAGGAAATTAACTATTTGTCTCGCAGAAAAGAATTCACATGGAAAAAAATCGTCCATTTTTTATTTCCTTATGCATCAGCATTTCAGTAATTTGTCAAAAGGAGTAGAGATAGCTCACTGTAAATGATTTTTCGGATCGACAAGTACGTAACCTTTCGAACTAGAAAAACTTCTCTCTTTTATATTACTGTGGTAATTGATATCGATCAAGTGGATTAGATCGTCTTGGTTCAAGTGGAGGTATAAAATCCATTCCATGTCGATATATCCGATTAGAATCCAAAATCATAGCAGGATGTAATGTTTCATATAAAAGCTTCATTTGTGCGGCTTCTCTGAAAGATTTCCAGAGTAAAAGTTTTCTTTAATGAAACAACAACGAATTACCTCAAATTTTTTCGATTTACACAATATTTGTATAAAAATAAAATCGAAAAAACAATGAGAAGACCACCAACAATACCCGTGATAAGTACAATGAATGCCAGACTTCTTCAATTAAAAGATTTCCTTATACTAAAAGAAGAAGAAGAAAAAAAATCGAAATGAACAGATCTTCTCCATTCTTCTTCGGTACGATCCAATCAGAAAAACGTTATCATCTTCCTTTCTCTTCGACTTCACATTAATTGTTTTCATGATCATACGAGCAAAAAAAACCTAATTACGACAAGTAGTTGATTACAAACATCATGTTCTTTCCTCTTCTATTCTTGTCACTGAAATCTGTCGGATTATTCGATGGACAAACAAATCATTTCGCATTGTCGTTCGTATTTGTACGACAAACGAATTTGAAATTTTCTTTGAAAAAAAAAATAAATAAATAAGCGATTGTGTAAGACTAAAATCGGTTGATTTCAAGAGAGATTTTCATGCAAAATCAACGGTATCTTAATTATCTCTTATTGAATTCCTTTTCAATGACTTTGGTGTAAAAGAACAGAAGGAAAAAAAGAATATTTTTCCTGTTTTCTCCGTCATTTCTTTCGATCTTCTTTTTCTATTGTATTCACAGAGGAATCTTAAATGTAATGAATTTTCTTTCATATGTCACAACGTTTAATGGGAGAAAAGTAGTAAGAATGATGACATGAATATTAACGAGTAAAAAGAAAATTCTGCGTACGTTTTCTTGAATGAAGGAAAACATTGATCGAATGCATCGTGCTTTTCAATCTAATTGAAAATTTTCAAAGCGAAAGATCGAAGAAAAATTCTTCAGGGATTTACATTTCATCTCTTCATACAAAAAGACGAGAGAATGGAAAAAATATTTATTTAATAAAACAAAATTCAATCGGCATAATTGAACTTTCTTATTTAATGAACGCGACTCAACTATTTATACCGAAATCAATGTTTAAAAATAAACAGAAAAACTTTATACTTATGATTTATTCAATACTAATAGACTGAGTAGACAAGTGTTTGTTTGATGTGATGGAAAATGAACGAATATCTAACGAACTACGTCTTTTCATCGACAATGCCATTACTAATGACGTCGTCGATTGTTTTTTATGTACGATGAGCACAAGAATAAACACGCTTCTGCTAAATATATCTAAGACTCATATGTAGACTTGGAACAAGAGCAAAAAGAGAGAGGAGAGAGAAGAGAAAAAGGAATCATTTTCATTTTGTTTTCCTTCTTTGATTAGAAAAATGCATCATCCATATTTGATGATCTCATATGCGTGACTTCTAATCAATAGAAATCTTATCCAACTTAATAGAAAACGTTTTCCTATTCAAAGATTTACTTCGTCAAGAAAATTTCGATAATAAATTTTCTGTTTAGAATCTCCTGTTGATTACACACACAACTAAGAAATAAGAAGAAAAAAAAGAGGAGGAGGAGAAGTTCAACGTTTCATGAAAAAACGCACATGCTCACACGCACAAAAACTTAACGTAGAATGTTATGCAAACTCTTCTACCTTTCTTTTTTTATCCATTATTTGATTCTTAAATGACAGGAAATTGTTTCGTATAGAATATTTTCAAATCTAGTCGATTGACATCGAATGTCAATAGAAGATAATGAAAAAGTCTCTTTAGTTCCTTTTTTCTTCTCTTTTCTCAACCAAAGGACGGTATTTTCAAAGATGAAATATTAATGATATACTCGAGAGAATAAACGAAGGTGTCAACTACGATGAAATCACCCTCAGGAGATTTGCATATTAACAAATATTAAATAACGTGTGTATGTACCACTACGAAACTGTTCAAGAATGAAAAAAAATGCGAATTTGGCTTTGAATATCCGATTAACGAAGAAGAATTGTTGACATCGATGAATATTTTATATGAGAAAAACAAACAGGAAAGAATTACTTGGATCTGTTTTTCAAATAAAATCATTAAGCAAAATTTGTCTTCTTAACTAGACAAACGGTTATTTTTCCTAAAAGATACGTAACTTTTCCGAAATACTAAACTAGAAAAAAGAGAATCGGGCGGGTTTTTTTTTTTCTTCTCCTAAATGTATTTTTGTTTATACGTTTATCTTTTGTCATCGTCGTTAAAATACGTCTTTCTTTGCTCTATATACTCATTTTGTCAAATGCATTCCAAGTCGAGTTTTTCTTTCTTTTCTGTTTACTACGTAAGAAGAGAAGTAAAAATTCTTATTTTCACAATTACCTCGCGTGTCAACGATTGTTTCAATCGAATTTACAAGAAAACGAAAGACTATAACAATGATTTCATCTTCAAAAGAGAAGAAAATGATCCTATTACGTCGTTTATTGACAATCATATCGGATGACATTTGAATAGAACATCAAAGGAAAATAAACGACCATTCAACTAAAGATATTTTCGACGAGATCAATTTCAGTACAAAATCTCGAAGTTAAGCAAACGAGATACAATTTCATTTTCTGTTTCTTAAATTAGAAAACCTTTCAAATGATGATTTGCCTATAGAGACGCGCTCATGACCTCGAAAAAAAACACACATTTATTTTATCAAATCATCTAGACATTTTAGGTCACAGAAATATCTCAATGTTAATCATTTCCAAACTCATGAACAAACATGGAAATTCCATCATTGAAAACTTCCTGGATTCATTCTATGAATATTCTATGTGAGAATCGACAGAAATATCGTCTGTGTCATCAGGTTTTACTTGTCAATTTCAGATCAATTCAAGTACTTGAAAAATATCTCTTATATCAAGTGTTAAAAAGAGTAATCATGTCCTCATATACCATATGTGCATTTGATTGATTGTAGTTCGTTTCTTTTTTATTGAAAATTCTTGACATATTTACTATTCTGAGAATTATTCTTGATCGTAGGTCTTTCTGAAAAAAAAATGAATATTTACCAAGAAGAAATCTAATGATTATATAAGAATGTCATTGTATTACAGATGAATGAGGATAAGAACATGTGCAAATAACTGATGAACAAATAAATGAATACAGAAGTCGCGATGGATATCATTCTGTTTCTAACCTTGGAATATTCTCGCTGATAATACATCTCTCGATCGGTTTGATAAATACGACATATAACATTTTTAGCTGTTCTATCTCTATGACAATAGTTGAGTATATCCTCCGATCATGTATTTCAACGATGGTCATGCTGCGCCGACTCACAGCTTGTCTATCATCAACAGCTTCTGATAACGATCTAAATCAACGACAACAACAACAAGACGATAATCACTATTCAACGGCAAATATCTTCACTCAAATAATTCTTATTCCAGATTTCACATCAATGAATATAAATGCAGATAATGAAGAGTAAGTGGTGTGAACTTCCCGAAATAAATCTGCGAGGTATATGATGACAAATTCTCTCATCTAAATTACACGTTGGTGGATACATTGATGTATCTATCTAGATGAAGAAAGGGTTAAGGAAAACACGTCGTATATATTACGTATATGATATCTACTCGTTTATAATCATATATATATATATCAAGTAGAAAAGAAAATACGAGAAAAACTTTTTCTCATGGCAAATGCGAAAGGAAGACGAGATCGATGGTCATCACTTGATCAGCCAACCAAGTTTGATCATTCAGATGAGATTTCAATGAATTTAGAAATGAATTCAACTGTTGAGAGACAATCTGAAGAGATAGAGTAAGTACATTTCCTTCTCGAGGAGAAATATCGATTATACACGAACGTTGATCAGATAGAATTAGATATCGGAGGTTGGTCTCACCCAATGATGATTAACGATTTACAATAACAACAGAAATGTACAGTCATCTCATCATATGTCAAATAAATAAGAGCAACAGCATCAATATAGACATCATAGAAGCAAGAAAACACGATAGATCTCAAGCTCAGTGATGAGGAGAATCGAAGAAGAAGAAGAAGAAGAACGATAAGATGATTAAATGATGGAAGGCGAGAGAAACACGGGAAAAGAAATGGATAAAGACTATGTCTTTTCTTCCTACGAGCCAAAAATACAGATGATTATTAGAATAAGCATGTGTTTCCGATCTATTTAGTACTTTGACTAGAAAAAGTGACGACAATCCTAACCTACAGTTGTCTGTAAATACCACATCTATACGACGAACACCAACACCCGTACAAGTTATGACACAACAAGCGCTTCGACTTGCCGAAAAAATTAATGATCAATATTTAACTTGTAAAATATGTTTGGTAGGATCGAATGAATTGTATAAGAAGCAAAATATTGCATTTCGATGTTCTCTTTTTCAGGAACCATTCAAAGATCCGAAATGCTTAACATGTCTTCACACATTCTGCGAAGAATGTATTGAAAATCATGTTTCTGCTCAGAGGTAAACTATATTTCATTCATCTTCGACAATTTCTTTGCTAAAAATAGTCGTCATTCTTCTTCGAACACCTCCTCAGTCCTTCAGAAGACAATGTGCGCGCATGTGTCAATAAGTAGATACACTCTTCGTCACATCATATCTCATTCTCTATGCTTCATTACTTTATAACATATTGTTATCTTCCTTTGCATTTGTTTTCTTGTGCGTTGTACAATACGATATACACATTACTTCTTTTCTTCTCACAGAATCGAGAAAGAAAAGATTCCTTCAAATGAAAGACACTCATTAGAAGTAAATACAACTTATGCGTTATGGGTAAATTCTCTTTAGGTCATTGACAAAAGGTTTCTAATGACAGCTGTATCGATGCTGTTGGCGAGTTTTTCACTCTTTCGAAGAAAAGATGCCTCAAGTGTCTTTGTCCTGCTCTTTTGCGTTTCTTCGATCAAATCTTCTCGTTTAGATCGTACAAATACACAGATTACCGTGAATTTGCTTGTCCTATATGTCGAAAGAAGACGTCGATTCCAACAGGTGGCGTTCACAAGTTGCCAGACAACTTTCTCGTCGCCGGTTTATCCGAAATGATTACTCAGAAGAGCGTTGGACCGAACAGTGCTGTTCGAGTTTTAGCCAATTGCGAAATCTGCAAAGCTGTTCACGATCGCGAACGTGAAGCTACATCGCGCTGTCTCGAATGTCAAAAATTTCTCTGTCGTCATTGCGTTCAGGCACATCAAACCATCACCGTCACACGCGACCATTCGATATACGAATTAGAAATCGAAAAAGACATTCTTTGCAAAGTAATGTATCTTTCATTCTTAGTTCCACTTCTAAATTGTTTTCTTCCAGCATCATCCAACCGAATTCGTTCGTTATTATTGTGAACAATGTGAAGTCTGCATTTGTATTGCCTGTACATATGTCGATCATCGTGATCATCAATTAACGGACTTTCGAACGGCTGCTATGAATCATAAAGCTTATATAATGGATTGTCTCGAAAATTGTAAAACACGTATGGGAGAATTAGAAGCTTATATGAATGTCATACGACAATGTGATGTTAACATCGCTCAAATTGAAGCGAGTATTCATGCGTTAGCAGCGACTTTTGAAAAATCGTTACGTGTCAAAGAACAAGAACTGGTTGAACAGATCACAAAGTTGTATGGAGATGAAACTGACGAATTCATTAAACGTCGAGAGGAATTAGATGAATTCTACGAGCAAATCAAGAATACTTGTTCGTTGACAGAATTAGTTATTCACGGTAAAGATATCGAATTGTTATTGGTAAAAAAGCAATTGTTAGAAAAATTTCATGAGTTACAATCGGTTGAACTCGAACCATTGCCTGACAATCTCAATATGCACATCAAATTCGAACCCGGACAACTAAATTTAGGAAGATTAACCGTTTCGGAGATGACACCGACGGACGATGATGAATGCGAAGGAGAATTAGAAGACGAAGAATATTCAAATAATAATAATAATGTATCGACCAATTCTCACACTTCATCTTTGACACAAAACAAAACTTTTTCTTCGATTTCAACTCAAACAGACGATATCACAACTACAACACAAGCAATTCAGGTTTCATTTCCCATCGCTGCTACTTTATTTTTCATTTTGTCCTATTTAGACAATCGATGATTCTCTTTCAAATGGTGATCTACTCGAGAATGGAAATGTTTCATCGACAACTTCATTACCAATTGATGAGAATGGTAGTCTATCACCAGCTCCATCATCATCAACCTCAACAGAAAACACGACAAATATCTATGAGCAAAGTAACAAGTTATCACGTCGTGTTCGTCGTCTTCTCAAACCGACATGTAGTGTCGCTGTTTTACCCAACACTGATGTTATTATTCTCGATTGTGAACAAAATCTCGCATCAATTCTTGACAAAAAAGGCAAATTCAAATATTGTTTCACCAGTGATATTCCAACTGCCGAACAGAAAGGATTCGCTGTTGCTAATTTTTCATCAACAGCAAATGTTAGTAGCGCACCGGCTGGTGCCAGTCGAACTGTTCGTATCCCGACTCAGCAGGGTTTATTATGTATTAAACTGAAAAACGAACGAGTTGGTGAATTACCATTTGGTTTTACCGTTCATGCATTTAATTCAATTTCGGAAAGTGACAATTGAATTTGGGATCTTAGAAGTTCAAAGACATACAGCGTTTGACGTAACTCCCATTGACATTTCATAGAAAAATATATATCGGTTTATACTTTTTTAATATTCGTAAAAATAAAAATCAATTGAGTTATGCAGTATATGATTTTGACTCATGTTTTATCTCATCGCGGAGAGAATGATTAAGATAAGATTTTAGGAAGTGTTGATGAATTGAAACGAATAAAACTTGCGAGGTGTTTATTTTAAAAAAGTCAAATTCTCATTTCAACGGTCGAACATTGAGTTAATTGAAGATTTTCATGTATTTGTTGGTAAACAAACTTCAATTGAAAAGAAACTCGGAATTCGATCGGGAAATGTAGCAGTGATTATCTCATATCGAGATAACTCAATAGATAAACTGTGATTTCTTACAAGAGGGAAATATTATCAACGAATTCTATTTCATTTTACATTCAAAACACGTTTGACTAATCTGCGGTTCTTTTCAAATTATGATTTCATTTTCTTGATGAAAATCTGCATCGTACTTTTTTTTTACATCAATTCATTTTTATCAAACAATTTCCATCTGTCAGCAACATCATCATTGGTAGAAAGAATATGTCACCAAAGTAAACTTCTATTTCTCAATAACACAGAACCAACTTGTTCAGACAGACATTAGAAAGATTAACTTGAAGGATTTTTGTAAAATCTTGTGTAGGATAGGAAAAAGCAATTGTTTATAGAAGCTTTACGTGACAAGTTGCTTATCTCTGATTTTGATTGAATAAACTCCATTGTCAGAGTGAATCTGCAAATCTATCTCAAACGTTAGCGTGAAATTTAAGTACATTTTTCCTTATTAACTAACCTTGTCATGTCAGTCAAGTGTATTTGTTTATGTGTAGCATTTCATTTTTCGATAACAGTCATGTTGTCAGTGATGTTCATGCTACTTTTCGATAAGTTCTTCCGTTTTCAAAAAACAGATTACTTGGATGTTAATTGGTTTTATCTTTTAATTAATTATAAGAAAGATAATGCTTGATATTTTTCAAAAAGTTACTGTTTAGCATTAAAAGAACATGATTGTAGATTATGTTCCTTGTGTCAACCCTTGATTACCGAGAAAAATACTAATCGACACATTCATTCGTAACATGTCTGCATTAGACAGTAGTATCGCGGAAGCTGCTGCTATCACATTTAGCAAAGTAGTCTTTACAAGAATTTGGACATTTTCAATGATAGGTCTTGGTGTAATTGGTCATATATTGAATGTTTATGTATTTACCCGACGCTCACTTTGGTCGAACGAATGTACATGGTATTTTTTTGCGGCTACAATAAGTGGAATAGTAGTTATAATTGCAAATGCTCCATTACGTCTTTTGCAAATAGGATTTAGTATTGATCCATTTGGCTATTCGATTGTCACGTGTAAATTTTTCAGTTATCTGCTGTTTGGAGTAAGGTGTGTATCAGATTAAATAACTAGCATTAATATCTAATAGATTCGATCATTGATACTTTCTTCTAGGCCACTTTCATCTTGGTTTATCGCTTTTGCTTCGATCGATCGGTAAGTGATGGTAATTTGAAATTCTTTATACAATACGGTAGAATACATCGGAAAATTTCATATAATGATGATATTTATTGTACAAATAACATATCTTCGACTTCTGCCGTTAAAAATAGCATGAGAACAAAAATAATCCTCAGTTCTTTCTAGAAATATTCATTTGTTAGTTCCACTGAGTGCTGGTTAATAGGCCATTTCTTAAGGCATTGTTCGAATAGCACATGCGAGAGAGCAGATAGTTGTGTACAACCACCAAAAATAAAGCTGTTTTTAAATATGTATGGAAAAATTTATTTTAACGATTGTTAAGAATTATTTACTTCGCTTAATACACGAGAAATCTGTTGGTTAAAACGATTTTTTTATAACAATTCTTACGTAGAAGTGTTATCACCGAGTTCAGTCTACATGATATATTATAGAGTGTACTCAGACTGATTCATTAAATATTTCTCTTTCCAAGTGTAGTTTTTATAATCAGTTAAAAAGACTTTTTTTTTTTATTTCAAAATTCTCATTGTACCAAATACTCACTACATTCATATATGAGCTAGGGTTTGGAGTCTAACCAAAAGATGCTGCAATCAGTCATGTTGGTGTATCTATTTAAGAAAACAGTAATTGGAATTTTATGGAAAGAATTCGAGAAAGTTTCGTTCATTTGACTTTGTTTTTATAATTTGATCCACAATTGTATTTCTCCACAAGCTCACGAAAGATTAGTTCATATGTAGTGCTTGCATAACAACTTTGAACATCATGAAGAAACTAAATTAAATTCAATGTCTTGAAAAACCATTTTATTCGGATGTATCATTGTCTATTTACATTTATTCTTTTAGCTTTTTGTGCAGTTCACGATCTCCTACTCTACGCTCATGGAGTTCTGTTCGAGTTGCTACATGGACTATTCTACTTATCACAATCATTATTCTCCTTATCTTTATGTATATTCCTATTACTTATGAAATTCTCCCAGGGCGTATCAGATGTCCTGCATCGCAAAGTCGTACTGCAGGTTTCAATGGTATTTGGACTTTGATTGTATTCAGCTTAGGTCCACCGATAGTTATGCTCTGCTTCGGATCACTAACTATTCGTCATATTCGACAGCAATTGAAGAAAGTTAACATTACAAACAATGAAAATATTGTTCAAACTCAGTTGCCACAAATACGACGTCAAAAGAGAACAGATCGACAATTAATCCAAATGATGCTTGTTCAATGTCTTTATTTTAGTATCACATCAATTCTTGTTTCAATTAATTGGTTTTATTTTACAGTAAGATCTCCAGTAGTAATAGATGTTGTTCAAGGCGCTAAGGACGATGCATTTACTCAAATAAGTGGTTTGATCTCACTTGCAGGTGCTTGTACAAGTTTCTATTTATTTACATTGTCAGGTAAAGTATTTCGTGATGAACTCAAACATTTATTCAAATGTCAATGGCGTGTATCAGATGAAACAACTAACACGAATGTACAATCTCTTCGAAGACTTCGTTATTGAACAAATGAATTTCAGATGAATCTTATACAGTTCATAGAAAAGAAGAAAAATCCGACATTTAGTTTCAATGTTGTGTTATTCGTAATATATTATAATGCTTTTGTTTGTGAGATACAATATACTTATCGATATACTGAAAAGCACTTTCGTATTAGACTTTTTTACACTTTTGTGTGTTTGAGAATAATGTAAATGAAGAAAGTTTTGTGAAATAATATCATTGCACAAAGGACTGATATAGTTGAGGATCTTGACGACGAAAACAAGAAAAAGACAGGAGTCTTTCTGTTAATTATTGTCGATATGGTTGCTGGAATAGTCTGAAATACTTTCGAAATCATTAATTTGCTCATGTGCTAATATAAAACGTTTTCTAAAGATTAACTTGAACAAAATCACGTCATTTGATATAATTTGTTGAAATTGCTTCAGCTATTCACATTGTGAGTATATGAAAGTTTGCAAATTATATCAGAATTATTTCGATCAGTAGAAATTTTCAACTTCTACACCAATGATTTCATTTCATAGCAAGACATTTCCAATTGATACCATGACATTTGATCAAACACTTCACACTCGTCTATAGTTCTGTCGAATAGATTTTAAATCTCGAAATCATCATCATCCTCGATCCTGATTGCCTCTAGATTTGTACCTTATTTTTTAAAAGAGAGACAAGATAGTTTCATTATTAAAAAAAAACTAGTAGAAAAATATTTATTCATATTGGCGAAGAATTTTCTGAATTTTCAATGACATCAGCGAATGCTGTACTATAAGATGCTGGAAAATGATCAAACCACATTCGTGGATGAACGATCAAATGATTGAAATTGTTATAATGACTAAGACAAGCACGATATGACGCTTTTCTTGTAAATAATCCCACACGATCAGTCGAATATAGATGAATAATTGTTCCCGGTAAAAGTAAATCCACTCTTTCACCTGACTGATCAGTTGAAACGAGTTGCGAGATGGTTGAATTCGTATTTAATGATAAATTAGTTCGATCAGAAACATTACTAATCGAATGGAATACTTGCCGACGTTTTGTCAATGTTTCAACAAGTGTTGTTGTTAAAACACGAAATTTATTTCGATCACATTTATTCAAAGCAATCAATATTCGATCTCGTAATTGTTCCAATGAACGAAGTGATGCACGCGCAATCATATCCACATCCACAACATACGAGTAAATAAAATCACGCGTTGATAAAATCAAATTTTCCGATAGAACCGAACCGGGCATAGCAATACCATAACATTTCAAATGTGGATAAGAAGATTTCAACAAAATCGAAAGAATACAAGCGACTCCTGCGCCAAGTGAATATCCACATAAAATCAATGAATAATCTGGGTACTTAGCAAATATGTCGATTAAGCGTTGACATATTTCATCACGAATATATTTCGCAGCTGAATGCATACCTAAACAGAATTTGCTTTTCATCTGATGAAATTCCTATCGCACTAAACATTCTTACCACTGTGACAGTATCCTCTTCCAAATAATTCCGTTTCGAGAATATCTTCTGCCGCATTAATATCCGTCAGAACATCAGTCGCACTTAATGTTCCACGAATCGAAATGATAATCGTCTTTTTCTCCTTATCAGCGGCGATATAAAACGGAGCTAAAGAAAAATCGTTCAAAACAAAAATTTGATTCGCAAAGTTTGACGTTACCGCGACCGAAAGCACCGAAAAAGTTTGCGTACAGAATAATCGGTTTTTGTTTTCGTAATAAATATTGTAATGTTCGATATTGACCGCCACAAGGATCGTAGTAACTATCTTCATTTTGACAACAAGCTAGTCCACAACAACAGGAACAACAAAACCCAATCGTTCGAAATCGCATAGCAAAACAAATTCGCGGAAGAAATGTCATTCGGTATTGATATGCTAATGA